TCTATGTCACGGCAGCAAACCACACCAGCTGATGCTCACTCTAACGGCAGGTTTGCTCGTGCTATATCACACACAGTCCTCCGGTCTGAACCAAAGTGTTATGTAAACATTCCTTTGGCCCCACTGGTGAAGAAATAACGGACCGCGGTGAGCTACCACCAACGGATCTCGATTTGTTGGCAGCCTAACGACAAAGTTCCTTTTTTGCAGCTGTATGCATGTATATATATATATATATATATTGGAATATTTTGGGAGAATCCATTTCCTATGCATGTTGGATTAAAAATGACCACTGGCTCAGCATCGACGAGCTTTTTTATGCATCGTTCTAGTGTCCGGGCTTTTGACTTGGCACTAGCGTTTAGCTTAAAGATGATCCACACAAAATCACTCATATATTCGTCGCTATTTACATTCTTTCGCTTCGAGATCCTATCCCACCGCGTGAGAAGACTGAATGGCAAACGAAATAAGTTTGAGTTTTAAATGATAAAAATCGTGCACTAGTATTGTAAAACATCTTTTTTTACGGAGAACACAAATGAAGCACGGCTGATTGCAGTAAGACAGAATCCTATTTTTACTTTGATACATTACAATCAGATCAATATCGCTCACTGCCCACCACCTAATATGCCAAGGGTTGTACGAAAATTTGCTGGTCTGGTTAGGGCTGGAGAGAGTTCGTTAATGAATACACTTCCCCAAATTTAAAGGCGTCTTTTGTCATTGCACATCCGTAAAATATCAGTGTTGCCCATCAGTTGTTGTCGTGTCATTGTCCTGTCATGTTCATGTCGCATGTGGTCCAGAGGTGCCCCGTCACGTAAGTGCATTGTCAGGCGTGGTGAAAGTCGTTGCGGTCACACAGAAGTAGTGTATGAAACGAGGTTTGCAGCCCTTGACGTTGCCTTTGAATTGATACACTACATTGGCGCATTTCAGTTTGTCGGGTTTGTCTGAGCTGTTTCTCACAAGAAAGTTATAGATTTTCCTACTGCGATAATAAATGGCAGCGTCTGCTTCGGGGTCGTTCTTGCCTTTTGCATGTCGAAAGATGATTTCCCGTAGGGCTCTACGGCGCTCCCCATGCACGAAGCGCACGGACCGACTGCTTGCACCGACCGAAGGCACACCCACCATATTACCGACGTAAGCACACCGACATTACCGACCAGCGGCCGTGCGATTGGTTTGGTGATCGGCGGAATGACCTCATATAAGATCTCGGGGATCCTGCCGTTAGCGTAAGTACTATAAAACGCCGGGCGTCCTAAGGGACTGCCCCATGGAGACAGCGCCGGTCGTGGGAGGAGTTCGGTGAGCATGGTGGCCAACATCGTCGTGGCAGAGTCGGTCTAGAAGAGTGGTCAGTCTGGCTCACAGGCTGGTGACAAAGCATCACCAGGCGTCGA